TCTGCAAGAACTCACAATTTTTGGGGACCAACTTGAACATTCACAACATTTTGGATGATCAAATTTTAAGGATCAATCCGGAGGCAATTCAAATTGATAGGACGTAATTGGGATGATTTAAAATTGGAGGGCCCAAAAGTTTACAAAAACCTGAGCCGGAGGAGTAAACATTCATGAAAATGGCGGACTGCGAACCAAAACGTGTAGGTTTAATAGACCACTTATTTCAATTTCTAGTCACATAGGTAGCAACTTGGCAAAACCCGCAGGCCTTTTTCATGTTATTGAAGTTTTGGGAAAATGAGTTTTGAAAAAGTAATTTTGGTGGAGAATGTGTGATTAAAAAATAAAGAAGAATGATTTAAGCCCACAATATTTTATTATGTAAATATGTGGTTAAAAATGAGCTTTTAAAAAAATGCCGACCTTCCCATGTGAGTGAATGTGTCAGCTGATATGTCAATGTTTATGGTCATATTGCATGACCCTTTGGTTTAATGGATGTCAAACCGGGGCTTAATCTTGGGATCTAGGTGGGACCTTGATCACTACTACTTTTCGATGTGATTTGTAAATTTACTTCATCAAGGTGTCTTTCAGAAAACAATTTTAAGATTTCTTGAAGACATGTATTTAAACCTTCATAACATATTCTATACTTAATAACATCATATACATCAAGATGCAAATCATTAGAGCAATAAAAATGTAAGAAATCATTTATATACTAGGCCAATTGAAGAAAAAGACGATGTGACTCAAAATCGTTGAAAAGGTTCAAAATTAAAGGTTTGTACTTGTACTTTTCATCTAGTCTTCTAGGTTATGGATTCGTCAAAAAGTTTGTATTATTGGTTTTCAATCATGTTTGAATAAACACTTTGTTGTTGGCATTAACAACGAAACCTTATGTTTAAAATTAATTTGAAATTGCCCCCTTTTTTTGTTTAGTTATTTCTTTCCAGTTTAGTTGTTTATTATTCTTTTATTCCCTTGATCATAGAGATGTCATTATACTATATGAAATTACTATGGAATGTTCTTGGGAATTTAATGCATACTTATATATTCACAATTATAATTATGTTCATATATATAGGTATAAAATTAATTGACATCGAGAGGCTATTGATTGATATAGGACCATTGATTTTCAACCTAGGGCAAGAACTAGCAAGAACGGATATTTGATAATTGATTTATGTATCACTACAGTTGATTTGTGTTCTTGGTGCTTGACGTGATTGAATATTACTCTAAATACTTCAAAAATCTATTAGGAAAGCCATCTTAACTAAGTTATTATTATTCATCTCTTAGAATTTTACTTGAATTCTTCTATATGAGCACCAATTGTAGGAGTTGTCTGATGGTCTTCGTTATTTGATGTCAGCAGATTCTATTATTTGCATGGGATCAATTTTATTGTCACTGACTTTATGTAGATGAATTATTTGGAGCAACAAGTCTATGAAATTAACAAATGAAGTAAATCAATTGTCATGTATTTTATCACTATCTTACTCCTTACGTTACATAGTATTGTGCTTTGTAAAGCTTTTATTTATTTAAAAAACTAATTAAATGTCATTTTAATTATACATTTAATTGGATCCTATACGTTTATCCACTTTTTCACTACATATTTCATTGAATCCACAAACTTTTATGAACTTTTAGCAACGTCACGTAGCCTATAGATATTAGTCCAATAATACCTCAAAACCCAATCTTTTCAAAAATATTTTCTCCATTGTAGCCTCCATTCGGATCTGATTTTATTTTGGTGAAATTCCACTTCTAAAAAATGAGTGATTGATAAGTAGATAATACTTGTGGTTCTTAAAAAATATGTGATTAATGTTAATATTTAACTTTAAAAAATAAATTATTAGGGGAAGAAAATGAAAACGAAATGAAGGTATAGTTTCATAAAAGTAACTAATGACACAGCTATTAGCTATGCGAAGTAAATACTTTGAACTTTATAGATAATTTTCACTCACTTAATTAATTTTTTATTCGATAATTAGCACAAAATAATGATAAAATATTGTATGTCTATCTTTGATCGATAAAGCTCAAATAATTGGCCTTTTTTTCTAATGTTTTTCCGTCTTTCAATAGTGTCGCACCAAGTGTTGTATGTCAAAAATAAAAAATAAAAATTGTACTTATAGCATGATTGATCTTAGATAATCAATCTAAGAAAAATATAATCCTACATATACATAAAGATTATAAAAGCAGTTTATCTACCGTGAGGGGGCGTAGCTCAAATGGTAAGAGCACTTCCTTTGTGTGCGAGAGACACGGAGTTGGTAGATGTTTTTTGTAGCTTACAATGCCTACCTCTTTATTTCTATTAATTTTTATGGCGATTTCTTTTTGTCTTATATGTAGCTATGGCTTAATATGATTGATTGGGCTCGAATGTAGCACAAATACACAATCGAAACTCGAATCACGTGAAGGAATTTCAGGAGTTGCTTAAGTTTGCTGCTATGGATTGTATTCCTGAGGATAGGAATTCAGTTCTGAGTATAAGCTAATATTGGAGGTAACATTATTTCTCCATGTACTTAATTATTGATTTTTTTGATTTTTTTTTTTAGACTGCTGCAGCAAGGAATTTATTGTATTTCCTCGCTGTCATGTGCGTTGGATGAATTTTATATTTATCGTATTTTGTTAGCGTATGAATTTTAGTTTTTTGGAATATTTTTGAAGCAATATCTAGAATTGTTTCCATGATATAAGAAAACAATTGTAAATTATTACTGGTTTTTACAATTTCATAACTGTATTTTGTCACATCTAGAAAAAGATATGCTTAAATAAGAAATATATGAGGTTTCATAAATTATTTTGCTTGTATTGTTGACATTCAATGTTTGACATTGTTGATATGATTGAATTGAACCTGAAAATTATATTTCTAAATCTTGTGTAACTTCGAATAAGTTGGAAATACTTGCATTGAAAAATTGAACATTCAGCACAAAGTTTATTACAGAATAACAGTAAATTAATTTATAGAGAAGTAATGGATCCATCATCGCATACTTTATGTACCATGAACATTGGGAGTTCATTATAGCAGCTGAAACGCTTAAATACGTATGTGTCACCTATTTGAAGCTGTTTTTCTCTGGAATATTGTGACCAACCTGTAGTGAAACATCTTACGTCACCATTTGCTGTCAAACTCACAGAAACAGTCTAGTTGTGATGCGAAGAGTAATGGATTCGAACACTTTGTATAAATTTGGGTAGATGTTATCCACTGAATCTTGAAGGTACATACTAAAATGTAAAATAAAAATGAGCGAAAAGGGAATTTAAAATTGTGGAAACATGAGTAGAAGAAAACTTACAATTTTGCGACTTCATTACATCTGAATGTTAGCCTAAAGACAGGATTTCCTATATGGAATGTATCTTCTTCAACAACTTTGGAGTTGGAGTGGTATGTATCATAAGTTACTTCTAACTATGAATCGTCAACTATTGAAACATTGAGGGTAGAATTTCCAATATATTCAAATACAATAACATAACCATCTTGTAAATTGTGATGGTCAAAGAATTGTTCCCATTCACCAACTAGATAAATGTCATTGTCAACTCTTTCTAGTTGTATGATAGGAAATTATACCATCGTATCCAATTAGACATATTCTATTGGCAAGTTCACGTCCTGATTCGACAAAAGATCTTGGAAGCAACTATACAATTAAGAATAAAATTATTTTTAGCTAATAAGACTTACCAATCGAATGTTATGGTTTAAAGAAGTGTCAACAATTCGAAAAAAAGGGTATGGTACATTCATGCCGGACATGATAAGGATTAGTGATGGAAAAAACACAAATTTAGCAGTAACAACACAAATTTAGATTGAGTGAAATAATTACTTCAAAATTCAAAAAGTCACAAGCATGAGAAAAAACTTATACTTTTGTGAATGCATTGTTAAAGAAATTTGTGTTTTTTCCTCTGGTATATTTATCTCCTATAATTTACTTTCTTCACTGATTTTTCTAAGGAGACATTGTCTATAGTATAGAAAATAATGCATAGTTGATGAAATTGGATAAAAGAAAATTATAGACAGAATTTCATTAATCATAATATTATTATATCAACTGATTATCTATACATAGGAGAATGTTAAATATGTAGAATTGGAAGTTTCAAATCTCAAAAAATCATCAAATGATTTCACACATTCGAGTTTTCAATTAGAAGTTATTAAATATAACAAACATAATTTAGTTAAGTAGAGATATTTGTATTAATACTAGTTTTTTTACCCGTGTATTTTGAAGGTAATGTTAGCGTATCCGATGTGAATGATTAGTAGGTACACATTTTGACCTGGGGCATAGTTTTCTACATTCTTCACATTGTTTTAGTCTTTGCAAAGTGGTTGCATATTGATTATAAAGGAGTGGAGCAACATGGTTCTCGAGAATAAAAAATCTGGTTAGTTTTTTTTACTATTTATTTTCATCAGTAGGATTATTATTTAAAAAGAAAATTCTCTCTTTAGCATGTTATCTGGTTTTGCAAATGCACAAATCTATGTAATAATTTTCAATACCAAATCTACGTGAAAAATATAACCTCTCAGTTAAGGTTAAAAGATTCAAGCGGAGAACTGTCATTTAACCTCGAGTATTTTTATATCATAACCTGGAGTTTCAGAATGAATTGTTAAAGATATCCTTTTTCCTTTCTAAATTATGTATTCTATACTCTACTTTTAGCATAGAAAACACAAAATGCATAGGCATAAGATAATAGGCAATTGCGTCCAATTTTTGTCGGTATTAAATAAATGGATCAGAAATTTACTTATTCACATGATAAAGAACTATGAATTAATAGATTAGTACAAGTAAATGATGTAATACATAATCTTGCCTAAGAAAGTTGAAGATTTTTAAGTAATCTAGTGTGTGTATTCTTTTCACAAAATACTTGTATAAAGAAAATAGGCTTTTGATACCACTTGGTTTTGGCAACATATAAATTCATCAAAGTTTCATTTAATTGATAACCAGAAAGCCATCAATGAATAGATGAATACAAATACAAGACATGATATAAGATTTTTCCTTCGAAGGTTGAATAATTTGAGCATTTACTAATCTTAAGTAGTTTAGTCTTGTGATAAAATAATAAGTACAGCCACCCTTTTGGAAGATTAAAGAAAAAGTATGATATAAATAGCTTCGCAAGTAAATCGGAAGCAGTAGAACCTAAAATGTAGCACTTGGGTGATGAAAGCTTTGTTTGTTTCCATAAGCATGCAACCAGATCAAAGACAAATACCTATGAAGAAATGAAACATATGTTAAACTGTGATTCTGTAAAGAAAGTGGTATGCAATGGAGAAATGTGTTCCAACAAATCATATCAGTGAATGAAATTGTTCTAGGGTTAGTGTAACTGCACTTGACAATATTAATGAGAGAAAGAGAGTGCACATGAAGAATTAAAATCAAATTTACTAATTGTACACATGCAAAGCATGTAGATAACATTGCAATTTTGACATAATAATTAACATTTATTCAATACTTTTGACAATGAAAATATGGATAATAATAATCAATAACTTGGGTATGAGGAATATTCAATTCTTAACTATCATTTGAGGCAAGATTTAACACCAGAGTGAAAAAACATAAACTAAATTGTAGTGAAACCAAATGTACGGACTAAAGAAACTAAGCTTCATTAATTAAAGGATGCTTTTCTAACCTCTCCTCCGTTGTCCAAGATGAATACTTAGCTATATTCAAAAGGTGACATTGTTCATGCATCAGTATTCGAGCAAGGATCTGAATATAGTACAAAACAAAGACGAATGAGAAAAAAATAGTTGAAACTAAAGAGAAAATTCCTAAAAAGCGATATGAGAATATTAATGAAGTAAAAAGGAAATTAGAAAAATCAAAAGGATATCTTTTAATGCAAAGAGATATGAAGATGAAAAACGAAGTGCGAGAACTTCCTAATGATTTAGAAAAAGGACATAATCTAACATAGTCCAATCTCTTGTTACGGTATAAAAAGGTAATTTTATGGCTTCTGAAAATACAATATGAAAAAGGTAACGAAAAATTAAAAGGGTAATTAGCACAAAACATCCCTACCTTTCGATGTTTTTGTGGAAAACGTCCCTACCTTTCATTTTTTGGTGGATTACACCCTTACCTTTACATTTTTTTGCGCAAAACATCCTTCTGTCAACTCTCCGTTAAAATGCTCCGTTAAATCAAAAAGGTAATTAGCATAAAAGGTCCCTACCTTTCAAAGTTATTGTGCAAAACGTCCCTACCTTTTATTTTTTAGCATAATTAGCAGAAAAGGTACCTACCTTTCAATATTATTGTGCAAAACGTCCCTACCTTTCATTTTTAGCATTTTTACCCCTACATTTCACCTTTCATTGCGCAAAAGGTCATTTTCATCCATTTTTTCAATAAAATGACGATTTTACCCTCCTATTCAAATAAA